GACTTGTGCGTACGTGAGACCTGGGGATGAGTGAAGGCTGAATTTGAAATCTCTGGATTAGACGCGACCAAGGAACATCTCTGTGAAGTTCCAGCCTCTCAGCATGAGCCGTTCCTGAAAACGTTTCCTCGCCAAAAAAACTTTCACGTGCCTGTACGTGAAACCAAGCGGACCTGAGCGTCCATTTTGAGGACAGAAGCCCGCACGTATGTGTAGATTAAGTTACCATAGTTTCAGCCTTGTAGCTTTTGTGGATCTCGGAATGAAAACTCGTTATAGATACACATACACACATATACATACACACACAGACAACCCCTCGACAATATGCGTTTTTGCATTGCACAGCTGCAAAAAACGCATAAACAAACCAAAGATATTCAGGGTTTTCCCCAGAAAAAGGAGAAAAACAATGAAAAAACAAACGCTATGGACACAAATAGGCAGACCAAAAGGGTGATACAGCTGAGATGAGCTGACAACACAGACTAGTACTACGACGAATAGGAAGTGATTAGAGTTAGCAAATACCAATCCGAAAAACTTACCAACAGAAGACGGCGTCTCACCCCACTGCAGGAAGACGTTCTTTGTTGCTTTACCATATGTACTAACATAGACACCTTCGTTATTGTAGCACAATAACAGCTGCATCCCGTTACTATTCGGTAATATAACTATACAATGCGGACAAACTGCTGTCTCGGTCTGAAAAGATAAGCTGTTCCACGTACTTATACGGACAATAATTTTTTATTTAAAGAAATTTTTTGGAAGCTATTTAATCGAGTCTAAACTTCCACTCAGTTTGTAGTTTTAAGTTCCACTCTGCATCCGAAGCTCGTAGCTTCAGAAGCTGCCACATGATTAGCTCCAAGCATACATCCAAGGAATGAAAAAAAGTCGAAGGTCAAGACGACCGTTTAAATATAGTTTCGGTTACAACAAACACGGGGACGTGGTGATCTGTATTAGCCGAACAAAACTGCGAAACGAGCAGAAACTGGTCAAGAAACGCTCTTTAATCACAGAATCACGAACTGGGCGCCCATAAGACTAAGAATGTATTATGGTCGGAAGAATACTTTCTCGCAAACAAAGCTCAGCAATTTTTTAGTAAACCATCTATTTTCACACACACACAGAGGCAGCAGGACTTTGGGTAAAAAGTCTACAAAAGAGCAACGTACATTGGCGGGTGTGTAGATATCGTCGATGGAACCAGAATCCAAATCAATCGCATGAAAACCTTCACGTGAACCGTAAATGACCTTGAGGCGAGCATTCTCCTCAACCGTCAAATCAACAATAAGCGGTAAATGGGCAAGCTGACTGAACGCCTGAAAAAAAAAGCGCATAAGTAACAACTAAGCTGTATTTTAAGTAACGATAATCTACTCTTTTTCTAGCAAATTATGCAATTACCTAAGTGATATTGAAGTGTTGAGTGTGTCTAACTGCGCTAAGTGTAAATCGTTGATCAAGCTTATTTTTATCAAGAATCTACTTTGATCAATTGTGCGGTGTGGAATTGCTAACCCCGGGCTGAATTGCACCGAGAAGCTATCCTCTCTATCAGAGTACACTGCGTTGTTAACCGATGCCTATCACATCATATCATCGTCAAATGCGCTGCACACCCAACTTTGGGTCCAATACCATCTCTACGATTATGTCACAATACACAACGGCCTCAGTACATTGTCACACACACACGCACACACACAGGCACACACACGCACACACACACACATACATACAAAGATATATATGCATATATATATGTCTTAGACATTCTTATTGTATCATGCACAAATAGCAGCAGGATTCCCAGTGCCGAATTATTTCCATGCAAAAAATAAAAAATAAAAAGTACCTTGAAAGCCATAAATTTATGATAGGGTTTCGGAGCCCATGCATAAATTTCGATTGTACCTTCAAGGCCGACCACGAGGAATTTGATCCGCTCATATCGTACAATCTTGAAATGAACCGCACCTTGCAAATCACCCACATTCACCCAGCCATTTCGTTTCTCCAGCTAAAAGCACAAAAATGAAATTCAACTACTCGCTGTGAGCTGCAAATTTACAAATGATGTTAGGAATAATAATGAATAAACACGTTTCTAATATAATAAACACGTTTCTAATACGGCCGAAATTTTGCCGTATATGTATGTGAAGAAGGGGGAAATATCTTTTTACGCTAACCGGACGCACGAATATACCTCAGACGAAAAGAGGAAAGTCGAAAAATAAGTATATGAAAGCAAAAAATTTGTCAAGACGAGTGCAAATTATGCGCAATTTTACAGAAATCGGGCTTTAATTAACTTACTGAGCGCAACATTTATCAAAAATGTTCGAAAATTTCGAGATAATAACAAAAAACCATCAAGACAGTGCGAAACTGTGTTAAAGGCGGGAAAAAAAGGGTTCATTGAAGACGGAACTTAGCATCGAAAAACTAAAAAAAAAAAACAACTGAGGAAAGAAAAGCATAAAAACAACAGGACTTATTTTATTGTGGAATCAAAATTCGTTTTTTGGCATAAACTTGCACTAACAATTTTTTACATCATTATTAGCATGTAGGACGGTAAAAACGGAGAGGAGAATAGAAGAAACCGAAAAATGGCTGGCAAAACAACACCCTAACAGAACGAAACATGACTTACCTCAACCCCACTAACACCCTCAGTTCGAAGGATTTTCTGTTTGAGCCACGATAAATAGTAAACACGTATCCGCCGCTTTCGTCCGCTTATTGTTACAAGTATATTTTGGCCCTCCAGCACTGCCATTTGCTCAAAACGTCGCCGCGTTATTAGTTGATAAACTGCAAAAATGCTCACTAATCAAAAATAGCCCAAATTTAACGGTTTTTTAATCGCAAACGTAGACAGAACTCCAATCAGCAATTAGCACTACTGCCATGCAAACTGTCAAAAGTTCAACTTTTAGCCCCTGTGCAACTCATTCACTTGTTTAGGAAATAAGCTGATGCTGGTGCAAGGCAAAAGTCGGGAACAGTAGTCAGCTTGTTCGTAAGCATCTTCTGAAAGTGCAGTCTATGACAGCCGTGCCATCGAATGGTAGCTATAGCTATGCTAGCACCATTCAGGTTCCGTGCCTACCATCATTCAAGGGCAGTAAAACACGAAAAAGGTTTCAACAGCTTCTCCTCTTCATTCTCGTCACACATAAATCGACTAGGCATACGCTGAACACCACTTGCTGAACGCATCTATTATAGTGACAACATAGCGGTTTCCGTGCGTTGTAGGCCCCAACTCCATTATATCTGTACCGCAAATTTCATACGGCGCGGCAGCAATAATGGGCTTAAGGGGTGGTGTTCGCGATGGGCACTAGTTGAAGAATTCAACTCAAATTCGAAGGTTTCAGCATAACAGCACCTAGCGTGTGGGACCATCACAGTAACATGAAACACATAAAGCTTGTCTCGAGGATTTTAGTATTTTTGCTCCTCGTAGCAATGCATTAGTTGTAACAAAAAAAATATGAGAAGTTATCTGTTAATTGAAACATTGTAGAAATATGCATACCTTTGCCCTGCCCACTGCGATCGAGC